GGCGTTTCATTGGGTCGGTGTGGCCAGTTGTGGCCAGGCCCCGGAGTTCCTTGCCACAGGCTCACCCGTTTCCCGTGCCCGCAGGTGCAGCAGTTCCTCGACGCGGCGTGGCAGGCGCCGGACGTCGTGGAGAGATACTGCGGGCTGTACTGGCGCCTGCGCAGCGCCGCGGCGGAGCTCTTCGGGCAGCAGGCTGCCTTTGCGCTGGCCCTGGCGCAGGGCTTCGCGGGTGCCTTGCTGCACCCCTCCTTCCCGGCTGCCCTGCACGTGAGTCTCGGGAGGGCCGGGGAGCCGGGCCCCAGCGCGGGCGCCCGGGCCAGTCCAGGCTGTGGTGGCTCTCTGGGCCCACAGCCTCGGGGCGCTTCAGGCTGCCTCCGTCGTCCCCGTTGCAGTGCGCCCGCCCGGGCCCGCAGCCCCGCAGCAGCCCTCGGTGCAGCCAGTGCCCATTGTGGTCTGTCATGCTGCGCGGCTGCAGCCTGCCCGGGGCTGCTGCTGGGGACACCCGCAGCCCCTGCCCAGGGATGCCCTTGGGGACGCCCTGTCGCAGCCCCTGCTCGGGGCTTTGGGGCTCTGTCGCAGCTCAGGGCTGTTGCCCCTGCTCAGCTGTGCCCTGCGAGCCCCTCCACAGCCATCCCTATCCCTGTGCAGGTGAGCGAGCGCTTTGCCCGCTATCTCGACGGGCAGATACGGGAGCTGCGTGAGGGCACGGGCAGCACGGGGCCGTTGCGGCGGCTCCTGGAGCCCTTTGTCATCCTCTGCGGCCTGGAGCTCGCCCATTCCTTTGAGCACTTCTACCGGTGAGGGGGCCACGTGTGCGGGTGACTCGAGGGTGGACAGGCCAGCTCTGGCAGCTGGCGGGGGGCTGAGGCCGTGGGGCTGGAGCAGGGCTGAGGCCGGCCCTGTGCTGACGTTGGTGGCCATGGCAGGTACTACCTGGGGGACCGTCTCCTGGCGCAGGGGCCCTCGTGGCTGGAAGAGGCCGTCGTGGAGCAACTCGGGTTGTGCTTCCCCAGTCGCTTCCCCCAGCAGATGCTGAGCAACGTGGCTGAGGCAGAGGAGCTCCAGCAGCAGTTTCGCCTCTTCCAGCTGCAGGAGCAGGACAAGCAGCTGCTGGAGCTGGGCACAGGCCTGGAGAGTCCCGTGGACGAGGTGAGTGGCCCAGTGCGTCGGGGAGGCCCCCTGTTGCTGTTGGGGGTGCCAGGCCTTGTCCTGAGCCCCCCTTGTGCGTGTGTGCCCAGGCGCTGGGAGAGGCGCCCCTGGCGCAGGCGCCAGAGGTGAAGGTGCTGGTGCTGTCCCCGCGCTGCTGGCCCGTCTCCCCCTTCTGCTACCTGGATGAGCCCAGCAGATTTTTCTCGGAAGTCCTCAGCTCCTCCCTGGCCGAGTTTGGCGGCTTCTGGCAGCAGAGTGAGCGTGGGGACGCGGGCAGCGCCGGCCCTCGCCGGGCAGAGGCCGGCGGAGCCCCCCCGGCTGCTGCGCTGACGCCGTCTCTCCGGCAGGCCGGAGCCAGCTGGGCTGGGAGTGCACGAAGCCCCGGCGGCTGCAGTGGACGTGGCTGGGCCACGCGGAGCTGCACTTTGGCGACTGCGTCCTGCACGTGTCCACGCTGCAGATGTACGTTCTGCTGCACTTCAACGGTGCCGAGGTAGGAGCGGGGCTGTGCTGGGCCGAGGGCTGGAGCTGGGCCGCGGCAGGGCCCTGACCCGCCTGCTGTGGGGGCTCCAGCAGCGTTTGTGGCCAGGCCCCCTTGCTGGCGTGGAGCTTGTGGCTGAACATTGCTCTCCCGCTGCCCTCCTGGCAGGAGGTGGCCGT